CACCTGGTCAATAGTCTGGATAGTGTAACATCCAAAGTGATCAAACGCAGTCCATATTGATCATCAGGGATGAATCTCCAAACCGAAGGGGAAGTCCACGCGGCTCATAGAGCAGGAGTCTCAAACCTCCGGCCCTCAAGCTGTGGTGAAACTACAAATCCTATGATGCATCTCTCTTTCGGGAGTCATGTCTGTGGCTGTGAGAATCTTGCGATGCCTCATGGGATTTGTAGTTCCACCACAGCTGGAGGGCCGGAGGTTTGAGACCCCTGTCATAGAGGAAGATCACAAGTTTTGGGACTTCTCATTTTTCGCTCATCAGAGGTTATGTGCATCAGGAGTGTCAGAGTGAAATCTGCATCCTTTTTTTTTTGTTTTTGATTGGTCACTTAGATAGTTCTGAAGCCTTGGCATCAGAACAACAGCCAGTAAACTAATATCTTAAAGGGTATCTAAGGTCAAAAACGAAAAATACATCTGTATTTCTATATTGAATTTCCATAAGTTCTATCCCACTCCTAATAACCAGATCCAACTAGAAGTTTGTAAACTACGACTATAGCACGTGCTTCTTCAATGCACTGACACGATTTTATTCAGCCCTGTGAATATGCACTTTCTTGTGTCACAACTCTCACGGATCCTGCCTTCTGAACTGCAACTCAACATCTAAACAATGTAACATCATCATTGCTTGCTGGAAGCAATGCATGATGGGATATTTAGACTTGAGAAATGGAGATTGCATCACATCAAGCAGCAGGGAAAGAGACACAAAGCACACTGGGAATCCAGGAAGTTGATGAAAGTGATGGGCAGACGGAAGGCAGCACTCACTACATAAAAGGGATTTTTTATGTAAGCTTTGATTGCATTATCAAAAACAACTCTTGTATGTATTCCCATTACAATGCTGATGTTACTGCCTGCAATATACTGACAGCGTCGCAGCCGGGACAGATCCTGACAATACTGTTGAGATCCACCCAGCAGCATGAGTGACAGCAGGCTCTGCCTATCTAGAGGCAGAGCCAGCTGTGCCCACCCCCTCCCCCATCCGTTCCTCTACTCAGTGCTGGAGGATTGGAGAGGAGAGGGGGGGAATCCCTGCGGTGAGCAATGACTGACAGTCACCGCTCTCTGCAGGGAGACGATCGGGAAGTGAGCGGATCAGCTGCATGTTTCTATTCACTTCAGGATCAATAGAGCCGATCTGTGACAGTCTCATTGTCACAGGTCGGCTCTAACTATGAGGATGAGTGGAAATCACTCACCTCATAGTTCTCCGTGTATACACGGCCGGCCGGGAGCTTCTTGGATGTAACTAGGTGTGTATACACGTCCTGTTACATCCGCCCGTAGGTCCCCACCCCTACATACACGCATTTAAATATGCGTCAGGTGCGCATACCTGCAAAAACGACGATTGAGCCCATTGCGCCGCACATGTTACATATCGCCGCGAACGTCGGAATGAGAGCAATAGTTCTAGGGCCATCAATCACTGATAACACTAAACTGATGAGCGGTAAAAGCTTTTAAAGTGTCGCCTATGGCCAATTTTGGGTATGCTAGTTTTTTGCGATTTTGCGAGTACGCGCAATTTTTAAGCTTGACATGTTTGGTGTCTATGTACCCGACGTGACCCCGTGACATGTTTGGTGTCTATTTACCCGACGTGACCCCGTCTTTTATATTTTACCAAAAAAGTGGGTAATATTAGTTGTTTTATAACATAATGTAAAAAAATAAGACCCGCAGTGGTGATTAAATACCACCAAAAGAAAGCTCTATCTGTCCCCAAAAAAGGGTATAAAATTAATTTCAGTACAGCGCTGCATGACGGAATAAATGTCAGTCAAAGTACCGCAGCGCGGAATACTGAAAAATGGCCTGGATGGGAAGGGGGTGTAAACACCTGGTCAGCAAGTGGTTAAGAAAGGATAACATCACCGGCAGGCTTCATATTAAAGCTAACAGGATCTCCCCTGCTGGATGTTGTAATCATACAGCCGGCACCCATGATTGGCTGCAGTCACTATTCAGTCCTCAATTCTTCCCTTACCGTCTTCAATTTTGAATCGAAGGTTGTCAAGCAGAGTGAGTCCGACCGAGCCACCCACGGCTCGATATTCGGCCAATTCAGCAAGAATCTGACAAAATACAAGCCGTGTATGCCCGTACCTAGATTTCCTTTTGTATCGGCTTTCATTCATAAACTGGCAGAGACAAGAAGAGACATGTCACCTCATTATAATACCACTTTACTAAGAAAGAGTGATTCAATTAGCACGTTTTAACACTCTCATTGTCCTTATTCCCTGGTGAAATGTCCGCTCTGTGAGATCACATTCAATCTAAAGGTCCCCACACACCTTACGATAATCGTACGATAATCGCGGGAAATCCCGCGATCGTACGATTATCGTAAGGTGTGTGGAAGCCGTGCGACCTCTACTACTGTAAGGTCGCACGACTTTAAACTTACGGACATGTTCGTCCTCTATCTATCTATCTATCTATCTATCCAATATCTATCTATCCATCATTTATCTATCTATCTATCCATCCTCTATCTACCTATCTATCTATCTATCCATCCATCCTCTATCTATCTATCTATCTATCTATCTATCTATCCATCCATCCTCTATCTACCTATCTATCTATCTATCTATCTATCCATCCATCCTCTATCTATCTATCTATCTATCTATCCATCCTCTATCTATCTATCCATCCATCCTCTATCTATCTATCTATCTATCTATCTATCTATCTATCCATCCTCTATCTATCTATCCATCCATCCTCTATCTATCTATCTATCCATCCTCTACCTATCTATCTATCCATCCATCCTCTATCTATCTATCTATCTATCCATCCTCTATCTATCTATCTATCTATCTATCTATCTATCTATCTATC